TGCGAGACGATTCGTAATGACTCTCGAAAACAGCACGTAGACGCGGCTCAGAAGAGAAATCGGTCTGTAGTTCTTCAAGAGAGCGTTGTCGCCTTTCTTAAAGAACAAGACCACTGTACTCCCGCTCCACGACTGCGGAGTAGCCACCATGGAGGACGGAATTAAAGAGCTTCTGAAGGACATTAAGTACGGGTGTTCCACTCGCTCTCAGAAGCTCCAATGTAATTCCATCCTCGACTGAGGCACTGCCGTTTTTAAGGTGCTGGAGAGCCATTCTAATCTCGCTCAGACTGACGTCCGGAATATAATCGGAATATGGTCGTATAAGACTTGTCCTTGGATCGTTACTCACACTTGGTGTGGCTCTGTGTGTGTGTGCGTGTGTATTAAAAGTTGCGTAAGTCCCGCCGCATGCATTTGGAGATCTGTCTGTTCAGATGCCTGTATGCTGTGAAATCTGTTGAAGACTGCAGCATCATTTCCCGTCTAACAGCCATGAGATTAGGAGTGTGATCGGATAGTTCTTGTTTTCTTCTGCGGCGGGTCTTGCGGAACTTAGCTTCGACCGCATGGACAGTTTCACCAGCTAGTCATTCATATCGTCCACTCCATTGCAATCTTTTAGGTGCTGAAATCGGTTTTGTAACTCGAGCTGAAAGGTTTCGGGCCTTTGGATTACAGCACGAGGGGGACGGAGTCATAAATATAGATATTTAGATGCTAATAACTTATATCGTACGCAATATTTCTTTAAAATAATAATGTATAGACTTAATTTTTCATTATATCTACATTTCCAAAAACAATAAAAATTAGACTGTATTTACGGGGGAGGGGGGGACGTTATTGCTTTTTATATGAAAATTTACAGCCACATTGTCCTCTTAAACATAGTGCCAATGCGAATTTAAACGTCAATTTGACTGTCCTATTCGTTTTGTAAAAGTAAAGTAAAGCCTATAGTATAGCCTATAGTACAGCCTAGATACGTCCCACTGCTGGGAACAGGCCTCCCCCTCATTTCTGAGAGGGTTTTAGGGCAAGGAAGTGTCCGCCGCGCTGCCCCAATACGTGTTAGCGAACTTCACATGTCTTCGAATTTTTTTTCTTATTTCTCGGACATGCAGGTTTCCTCACGATGTTTTCCTTCACCGCCGAGCACGTGGTAAATCAGCACTTAAAATTGCAATTAACAATTTCATTGGTGCCGGCGGGGATCGAACCCGGTTTGCTCGCGTACTGTGAAATTTACAGCGAGCGCTAACCATCTGAGCTACCACGGCTCTTATTATTTCGTTTATATTCGTTTTGTGCTTAGAGTAATTACATACATACGTATGCATAGACAATCTATAATTCTACATAGTCAGTATACTTGTCTCACTTTTTCTAATTTAATTTTCAAATAAGTCATAAAGAGACATAATCTATTGAAAGGTGTTGCCCGATTCATGCGTGTAAATAGAAATGTCAAGTGGCCATCTTTGGTCTCTTTATGCAATGCCAAATATGAGAGTAAGTACACTCGTATCTTGATTTATTAGAAAAATGACATCGTTACTGTAGTAGTATTATGTGTGACATTACTTTACTAGGCATGGCGACTTCAATCTGTAGTGATTTCCTTCGCAATGTTAGCAACAATCGATATCATATACTCGTTTTTGTTTATTTATTTTTATTACTTTAATATATGTCCCAAAAATATAAAGAAAATAGGGACTACACTTATTATTATACGAACGATCAAGTAAATTATTTTCTAAATCAAGTGATGGTTATTATTACATTGCAGCTATTCGCTTCGCAAACTTTAAAAACCAATAGTTAGGGAGGTATGAATACTATTTCTTGAAAGATAGTGACACATCAATAGAGGAAAATGTAATGGAAAAAGGGCAACAAACTTGTAAAAAAAGAGTAGAATAATATATCCATCTTATTTTGTTAAACGTCGTATGCATAAAGAGCTCAACTATAAGAATTTTGTTCTTATTTTAAAATTATCTTAACTAAGTGAACGGCAGAGTCGGTAAGTGACGCACTAGGAGAAAGTTTGTCGACCAAATTAGCGATCTACTGAAAAGGGGCCAAATTAAGAGTACCCGTAACGGACGAGCATGTATGCGTAGGTATATGGATGTGAAGGAGGCGAGAGAGGTGTGTCAGGATCGTGCCAAATGGAAGTCTGTAGTCTCTGCCTACCCCTCTGGGTGACAGGCGTGAGCGCTTATGTTATGTTCATATGTTATGTTATTTCTCTTTATGCTAGTAATTACTTAGGTTTGAGCGAAAAATAAGACCTTGTCGCAACAACATCGTTCAGACAATTTTCTTCCACTTCCGTCCGAATACAACGTGTGTTTTCGCTCTAAGGTGAGTATGGAATACGCGTTCTAAAAATAAGACTCAAAAATGATTATATTATCTATATTTTTATTTAATATAAAAAATTATAGATATCCACTATGTATTTACAAAATAAGTAGATGGCAAACATCCTGTTAGATCCAACATACAGAAAACGATACAATTATATGATACACTGCATAATATAAATCAATCTGGTCTCCAGCTTATGGATACGTACGAACAAAAATAATACTGTATATTGCCATAACGCTTCGGTATAGCGCAAACGTTCTGCCCATTTCATGTACATAACAGCGCAAACAAGTGACAGCCAACTGACATCACCTGTCATTTGGACATTAAAAATGTCACAGTATTACATTACAATACATCTTACGTTTCCTCAGTTTTAAACCTTTATTTTTATGATAGAATGCTGCCTTAAACCAAGGATTTTGAAAAAGCTTACAAAATTTAATAGCGTACAATAATTCAATTATTTATGAATAAATGTATGCCTGGTGGCACATTTTTGGAAAAGCCCCGCAGTAAACTTAATAAAGGCTAAGGAAGAGCTATTTAAAAATTGATTAAAAATCTTTAATATATATTATAATATGTAAATTATATTTATATTACCTAATTAGTCTGATTATGTTTGAGATAAAAATCAACACAACCAGATATATTGTAATGTAATTACTTATGATCTAGTAAAATGGGAACTATGAGTTAGTTGTTAAAAACATAGGCCTTTGGATCAGTTATTTGACACAACCATGTTGATTTTTAAAATTTTATATTAGGTAGGTTTGGGATAAGTGCTACACATTTGAAATACCAATTATTGCCTTCATAAACTCTTTATAATAAATGTTTCTTACATTTAGTTTGTGCTACAATGAATAAATAAAAATAAATATTCCATAAGCAATCCGATATTTCACAAGACAAAAAATTACTGCAATTGCAACCCCATATTTTTTAGACTAGATACAAAATAAAAACATATTGACAATGGTGACAGAACGTAATCATTAAACTGGATGGTATTATGTTTATTAAAAATCTATTTTAAATAAAAATCATATCATCTCATGCAAGGCACATAATACTCTCAATTACATAAACCAATAAAACAAGCAAATTAAAATATATATACAAATACGATTCGGAGTCCATCAAGTAAAAACTGTGAATTATTAAAAACTATAATTTATTAAAATATAAAACAATATGAATTTTCATTAGGCACAAGAGTGCATAATATAAAGGCTTTTATAAATAATTTATATAGTCAGATCTAAAAAAAATCAAATAACTCCCAATTGCACTACATAATATATTCAACCTGCATTACTTTGACAGGGGTAATAATAAACCAACCATGTTATGTACTTAAAAACCTTATTAGATAATATAATTAAATTAAAAAAAATCATGTAGGAAACCTAAATGCGTGCAAAGCAACTAAACCACCTGCATCAAATGACAGGTCGCATGTATATTTGTCAGTTGTAACAGTTGAGTGTTGCCAGCTGTAACCTAGAGAGATTGTACATTTCTTTTTACAAAAACCGCGGCCCGTGGCCTTTACAAAAACGTCATGATATGTACAATAACACTATATTTTTATACACCTACACTTACGTTAACATAATGATCACTGAAACCTATCGCGCTACCTTGTCTTTTTACAAATCGAACCAATGCCCTAAATTTTAGAGCATTAATACATCTCAATATATTACACGCTCGTCAACTCAGTTATTGCCATCGAAGAAAGTAGATTTCGTTCTGTTAAAATTACCTTTCTCTAACATACTCTACATACATAGAACTTCAACAATAACAAAATTAAGACTCTATTGTAAGGCTGTCTGAAGACTATTCAAATAAAGCTCTCCGATCTATTGGCATTATATAAATCTAATGTTATCATATGGAAGAGGTATATATTAGAGGAATATAACATTCAAAACGTAGGCAATTATTGTTATTTCTTCTTTCAAAAAACTTGTGTAATTTAAATATGGAAAGTAATAAGACGACATTTAAAACTGCCATTACACAATTTGACTTTTCGTTTAAAATTTAAATAAACAGCACCGTCTATTGTTGTTTGTTTGACAAATAAAGTTAAAAAATTGATAGGCTATTTTGGGGTAATAAAAAACAATTCTACTTCAGGCCAGCAGTATGTAAAGCTTAAACAACTCAAAAGTTATAAGTTTAATGAACACCATCTAGACAGTAAAATATCATGATCTTCGAGACCAGAAATATACTGTATAATGTTTAGATTAATTAATCACTCGCTTTTTGAAGATTGTTATGGCGAAAGAACTTGGCCAAATAAAACACTTCACTCACATGGATTCAATTAGTTACATTGACGGCAGAACACACTCACGGACGATTCGGTTTATAGTAGGTGAGATATTTGACTATGTATTACTCTTTTAACTCTTTTTGTGTGACAATATTGGAAGAGACTATTAATAATAGTTAATTTTAATTCTCTGTCTTGGCTTATTGTCATCTAGACGGAAATAAAAAATAAATAGTCAAATACCTGTATCAGTCAGCGAGGAAACAGTTTATTTTTTTAACCAAACCAGCATTTGTTCATCTGGGTCACACTTTACTCAGTCTAACTGTTGCACTTGGACCACAGACGTTGGAGGTGGAATGGAGATTTCATACTTGATCAAGCCAGTACCCCGACCTGTTGACAGAACCAGGCCACCGACTTCTTTGACGTCACTGTAGGAAAATAAAGTTACTAGATTACATATTTACAGACAAAAACGATGTAGTTCAAAAATTCAAAAACGACGTTACAATAAAGTAAGCCGGCACTCAAGTAGCAGCGATTGGTTTGTATGTGTGTATTTTTAATTGTGGTGCCGTCATCGCTCAACACTAGCTGCAGTGTGGTACATTTTATGTAACATACTTCAAGAGAGCCCAAAAGTAGGGACGTATCCAATACCGGTACCGATACCGATACATCGGCGATACTGTACGTACACAGAAAATCAGTATGAAATAGCAAGATAATGCTTTTGCTATGTTTTGCATGGTTAGTGATAAAAATTGGAGACCATTTTCACTGGTAGGGATATCTAATTTATCTATATAAAACACAAAAATGTTTCCTACCTATGTCTGTTATAGACTTTGAAACCATTCAACCGATTTTGAAATGGTTGCAATAGAAATCTCCCGTATGACGCCAGGGCGAATCGCCAGTTTTGTATGTAATACTGTTCAAAAACAGATTGTTCATTGAGAATATGATGGATGTCGATTTTTATAAAACGGTACTACGTTTACAGATGAGGTAGATATTTATCACTTATGTTAAAATGTTTGTATTTGTCTGTATGTGTCATGTTATATTGTTGTACGAGTGTACGAGTGTGCGAGTGTGCGAGTGTACTAGTTTACGAGTGTACTAGTGTACGAGTGTACGAGTGTACGAGTGTACTAGTGTACAAGTGTACGAGTGAACACGAGTGTGCGAGAGTGCAGGTGTGCGAGTGTGCGATTGTACGAGGTTACACGAGTGTACGAGTGTGCGTGTGTGAGTGTGCGAGTGTACGAATGTACGAGTGTACGATTGTACACGAGTGTACGAGTGAACACGAGTGTACAAGAGTGTAGAAGAGTGTACACGAGTGTACTAGTGTACGAGTGTACGGGTGAACACGTGTGTACGAGTGAACACGTGTGTACGAGTGAACACGTGTGTACGAGTGTACTAGTGTACACGAGCACGAGTGTACACGAGTGTACGAGTGTGCGAGTGTGCGAGTGCACGAGTGTGCGGGTGTGCGAGTGTACGAATGCGCGAGTGTGTACGAGTGTACGAGTGTGTACGAGTGTACGAGTGTGCGAGTGTGCGAGTGTGCGAGTGTGAGAGTGTGCGAGCGTGCGAGTGTGCTAGTGTACACGAGCGTACGAGTGTGCGAGCGTGCGAGTGTGCTAGTGTACACGTGTACGAGAGAACACAAGTGTACGAGTGTACACGAGTGGAGCAGTGTACGAGTGTACGTGTACGAGTATTCACGAGTGTACATGAGTGTGCGAGTGTGCGAGTGTATACGAGTGCACACGAGTGTACGTGTACACGAAAGTATGCGTGTGCGAGTGTACGAGTGTGTACGAGCGTATGAGTGTGCGTTGCGTGTACGAGTACACGAGTGTACGAGTGTGCGTGCGTGTGCGTGTGCGAGCGTGCGAGTGTGTGAGCGTGTGAGTGTGAGAGTGTGCGAGTGTGCGTGTGTACGAGTGTGCGAGTGTGCGTGTGTACGTGTGTACACGAGTGTGCGATGTACACGAGTGTACACGTGTGAACGTGTGTCGTGTACAGTGTGAACGTGTGTACGTGTACACGAGTGTACGTGTGCTAGTGTGCGGGTGTGCGAGTGTACGAGTGCGCGAATGTGCGAGTGTGCGAGTGGACGAGTGTACGCGTGTACACGAATGTACGAGTTTACACGAGTGTGCGTTTGTGCGTGTGTAGTGAGTGCACGAGTGGTACGAGTGTGTACGTGTGTACATGAGTGTGTGCGTGTACGTGCGTACACGAGTGTAAGAGTTACGAGTGTACACGAGTGTACGAGTGTGCGTGTGTGCGTGCGTGCGTGCGTACGGGTGCGTGCGTATGCGTGCGTGCGTGCGTACGTGGTGCGTGCGTATGCGTGCGTGCGTGCGTGCGTGCGTGCGTGCGTGTGTGTGTGTGTGTGTATACGAGCGTGTGTGCGTGCGTGCACTGACCTGGCGTTGTGGTGCCTGGGCTTGTGCGGCAGCTGCGCGGTGAGTGGCTTGCCGTCGCGCCCGATGATGTGCAGCTGCGAGCCCAGCAGGCGCCGCTGCACGCCACCCACGCCACCCACCGTCCCCACCACGATCTGGTTGCCGATCACCTGCCCTGACCGGTTCGTCACCTGCCGAAACAATTCGATAAGTTTACTTCCTTTTTTACAGCGAACTAACAGTTCACCTGATTGTAAATGGCTATTTCAGATCATGGACACTTGTAACCAACCAGCGAAGAAGGCTACAGTTGTATTGTCATCACAAGAACTAAGATGAAATGCCTCTTCTCCTATAATAATTATACTGGCTCTATTTACCCTTCAGGCTATAACACAGCATACACATACATACAGAACTTTTTCTTGGCAGCAGAAAAGGTCTTCTACCACCTAATTACTTAAAGTTAATTTCATTTGTGATGTGATTCTTGTTATTTATCTTTATATGCCTGTGAAATTCCACTGCTAAACCAGCCTTCTCCGTTGTAGGGAGTCTTAACCATTCTACTTGGTGGGTCCATTCATACTTGTCCAAGGTGAAATAAAGGTAGACCCACCTTTTTATTCACATTAGAAGAGCCGAGCACGCCAGCATAGACCCATCTTAAGGGTGTTACCACACCAATCGATCGATCATCGATCTAGTCCATCCGTCGGTGTGGATCGATTTGGTGTGGTAAATTTAGCTGATCGACGGAGACTGGTCGAAAAAACGTTGTTCAATCATCGATCAACATCGATCGATAATAATTAATCGATCAGTATTTCTTTCAAAATGCGTTCAAAAGCCGACGCATTCTGTTGGCCTGTATGTTCTTACTACATACATGCTTGTTTGCTGGATGCAACCGTTTTTAGGGTTTTTTTTTTTAGGTTAAATCTTCAATAAGTTTAAGGCTAGAGATACCTTAAATTCATCTAGACGTTATTTTAAACAGCGGTTGGTGGAGCGGGTGGAACGTCGACACATCCGTTTCATCATAGATCGATTAATGTGGTAACACCCTAACAATCACTGTCCCATATGTCTCGCTTAAAATTAAATTAAAAGAGAAAATAAGATTATCACTTTACTATGTAAATTGTGAGCAAAACTATTATTTGAAAGCCAAAGTTAAACAATTGATTTAGAATTTAGAAAGCGACAGTAGCCTAATGGCAGGACGCGGACCGCGAACTCAAAAAGGTCGTGGGTTCGAATCCGTCACTCGACTACTGACGTGAACCATTCGTAACACAAACTATTTAAGCTTACCACGAGGGGTTAAGGGGAATATTAGTAATATTTATAGCATTGTAAATATTCTTTTTTTAAGTAAAAAAAAAATTGATTGATTGAGCCGGGCTGGTGTTCACAACTAACTACTAAGCGCCTAACTAGCCTAAGCGCGTATTTTGTGCGTGGGAAGGAATTAAACAATATTGAAGTCACCTGAGCTCCTCAATGAATCTTAGTATTTTTTACAATACCAATGATCTAGGGATTTGTCCGGTGATCCAAGGCAGTGGTTAGAAGTTAATACAATATAGATATTCATAGCTGTGTAAATAAGAATTCCTGCTATATTCTTTAAAATTGGTAACTTACGTACTTATTTCATTCCTACAACATCTGGTGGTAATATCATATTAATTGATATCTATAAAGCATTAACTATAGTAGCATTATGTTCTTGTAGTACTCACCACTTGTATATGTGTGGGCTGCTGGTGTTCCTGCTGCTCGATCTCCAAGCTATTCTGATGCTGTTGCTGCTGATGTTGCTGCTGTTGCTGTTGCTGCTGCTGCTGGTGCTGCTGCACCTGCTGCTGCACTTGCTGCGCCACTTGCTGTGCAGCCTGCTGCGCGGCCTGCTGCGCTGCTTGCTGCTGCGCTTGTTGTTGCGCCTGCTGCTGTGCTTGCTGTTGTGCTTGTTGCGTCGTCTGCTGTTGCTGCACTTGGCTCTGTAATGTTACAATACATGGTGACATTAGCAATAATTTACAATAATTCACGAACAAGTGTGATAATATGATGTAGTGAGACATATTCTCTACATATATTTGTTCCATACTATATATCATATACTTTTATAACTGCAAAAAATTGTCTCATTGGAAGAAATTAACGCCTGACACAGATCCGGCGTAGTTTAAAAACTAGATTTCAAAAGTGTGTATGTTATATAGATATACCATTTTTTACAGTTCAACAAAAATATTTTAATTTCTATGATGCAACGATTTGTATGTATTCATAAATATTTTATATATTTATTTATAAGCATTTTATTGCAAACTGCACCAGACTTCATCGCTTGCATAAATAAAGGGGAGAAAATTGTCGGAATATTAACATAATCCAATGTGAATAGTAAATACGTAACAATATTCATCAGATTGGATATAAAATCCATAATCACACATCATATAGTTAATAGTATAATAATAAATAAAGTGTATAGTCAAGTTTAAAGGGCGGTTATCATTAGACTATAATATAGCGAGTGCAGAGAACCCTTTTTAATGGTAATTTTAAATCTAAGTCCCCACAGACGACAGCGTAGATGCATTTTAATTTTTGATTGATACTAGAAATTCACGTGTTTATGGATTATAATATCCACCCACCATCACGTGAAAGGGAGCTAAAATATTTCACTTCCACACTTCGAAAACCATCTCATAATATAGAGTAGGCCTGTGCTCATCGAAATGTATGAAGTCTACGTCACGACTACCTCATATCATCCTGTATGTGTTAAGAGGTGACTGAGGGAAAATAAGCAGCAATATCATAATATATATATATAAATAAGCAGAAATAATGAAAACTGTGGTTGCGAACCCGACTGCTAAACAAGGCAACGTTGGCAAAATCTCCTCATAAAGCAATCTATAGCGGGTTTTACCATAGTCTTATACATATTTTGTAAGTATCTGTTGGTTTTGGTTGACTGTTGTAAAAAGAAAATTGAGTGTGTAAAAATATGAATTTCAACTTACAGATCTGGGCGGGAGATCCATATGTTGCCTCTGATGTAACATTAAATGGTTTTTCTGGAAGAATGCTTTTCCACATTGATCACAGACGTGAGTTCGTAATGTACAACTGCCGTCAGGGTGTCTGTAGAATAAAAATAGGGTAGTGGTGATATTTTACAATTACGAGAGATAATTTCTAAAACATATTATGATAGATAGAGAGAAATTATTCTTAAAACACAAAAAACCCAACTGCAGTGTCCCAACTAATATATTTTTATGCTCTTCACCCATACACATGACACATTTTGCTTATTATTATTATTTAGAAACTGTGTAGTGGAAGTGTAAGAACATCCGCTTGCCCAGATCATCCCGTGTATGTCGCAAGAGGCGACGAAAGGAAACAAAACAGATGGGCAGCAGCATCTTCCAGATAACAACTTAAAATAATAATAAAAAACTGAAGTTACCAAATCCGCCTGCCAAGCTTGGTAGCTTTGGCAAGAAGCCCTAAGAGGCAATCTATGAAGGAAGATGATGTTCAGCAGCAGACTACTGATAGGTTATGATAATAATGAGGATGATTCATCATTCAAGCCCTTCACAAGTCCACTGCTGAACATAGGCCTCCCCCAACGTATGCCACAAAGCACGGTCCTGAGCCACCTGCATCCATCCACTTCCTGTATGTCTTACCAGGTAGTCACTCCATCCAGTGGGGGGTCACCCCACACTATGCCTACCGTTACGAGGCTACCACTCGAGTACCTTTTTTCGCCAACGGTTGTTGTTTCTTCGAGCTATATGGCCGGCCCATTGCTACTTCACCTTAATAATCCGTTGAGCTATGTCAGTCACTCTGGTTTTACAGCAGATATCCTCATTTCTAAGTTTATCACGCAGAGAAACCCCGAGCATAGCCCTCTCCTTAGCTTACTGAGCGACTTTGAGCGTATAAGGATGATTTTGCGTGTAGTGGCGGTTGAGAATATCCACTACCCGATATCTTCCCGTGGGTGTTGTAAGAAGCGACAGAGGGAGGCAGGCAGGAGATGGGCAGCAGCATCTTCCTGATACAATCAATAATATAATAAAAAACTGCGGTTGCCAACCCGCTCGCCAAGCGTGGCAACTATGGCAAACTGGAATGGAAAGGATTAGAATATGGAAAGGATGTGATTATTACGTCCTAATTTTTTGACGATTATGCTGCCATATCTTTTCTATGTTATCATACAAAATTACAAATTTTAATTGTCATTTCCAAATCTCACTGCTATTTGCAGAGAATGAGCCGACATGAAAATAGAAAGACATACTCTCCAGCCGATAATATTATCCTTCTTTTCGGCTGTGCTGCAGTGGGGTACAATTGTAGATTTTGTTATTCTGATATTCGTTATGTAGATCTGATATTTACATAATCTGAATGATACAATAACAGGGTTCAAAATCATCAAGAGAAATATGCATATTTGTATGTTATGTAATATTTAACTTTACTAAACATAGTAGAATGAAACTGCAGATATATTATAGTTGTAGCACGAGTGGGTTGGCTCGACCAGGGAGGACCATACTCTCACAGAATACTAGCGTAGGATAGAACTTAATTTTGCTGTTTCGTATGGTAAGTGCAAAGAACCAGACACTTGTTTACTGACATCTAAGTCCTCAGATGTGAGATGACGCATGACATTTCGATTCTTAATAGAGGATAGATGTAGACGTCTATCGGTATGTATTCTCTTTTGTCGCCCTTATTCTATAAGAAATAAATATTGAACAATATAGTATAGTACTCATACCTTCTATGATGTGACAATAACCCGTGTTTAGCAGCGAAACCTTTACCACAGTCAGCACAAAAGTGAATTTTAGGCCTTGGCGGAGTCATATGATGATTCTAGAACAGAAGAATATAAAGTGTAACTTACTTTAGTGATACACAATTTTAACCACTTGATATCTTAATATATATAAATTACGTGTCACGTTGTTTGTCCATGATGAACTCCTAAACTACATAACCGATTTTGATCAAATTTCCACACCGTGTGCAGTTTGGGGGCGTCCATAAATTACGTAAGGTGTTTTTTTTTAATTTTCTGTAGATCCCTCCCCCCCTGGTGAGATGTCGTGATATTTTAGTCAACACCCTCCCCCATCCCCCAATCTTACGTGAGATTTTTCAAAATGTGGGTTTCTTACGTAAACGCGTTGGATTGTTATTGTAAAAAGAAACAAAAACATTAAGAGGGCATATGCGTTTCGCATCGAAAACTACATGTTTTATGGTTTTTCCAAAGGCGATATCGTAACGACGTGAGGAGATTATTTGCTAAAAATTAGGGCTTTAGAAAGATGAAGTATTTATTTAGTACATAGCAGTGCAAAATCATAGTTTTTAATGACGGTTTTTTAGGACGAAGACAATCCCTTCACTGTGTTTTACGAAAATTGCATCAGAGTTATCTTTCAGGTTGAATACAACCATTATTATAAGCTAAAATACTTTATTTTAAGCGTTATTATAATGAAATATATAGTCTTTTAGCGTATAGCAAAACCTAAATTACGATAATATTTCGATTTAATATTATAAAATAATATTATAAAATCACCAAAATTGTCTACCTCAATGTAATTTTTTCCATGTATTTGCTTATAAACATATCTATTTTAATTTTTTATCAAAATACATGTAATGTTAAATATCCAAAAAACATTTTAGCTCGTTTTATTTTGTCAATTATTTTATATAATTATTTTAAAAATACTATAAAACATCATGCGCAGACGCAGTTCGATTCAGTACGCTCCGGGTAATCCCAACGACAGGACGTATTACTTTTTCTCACCGACACCGCGCGATCGCGTCGATACACCGATAGGGCTATACTACACCATACTGTTACGAGCTTGAGGTTCGTGACAAGAAAAATTGCCGATAGAATTACCTAAATTAACACTTTAATTAACTTTACAATAATTAAAGTTAAAAAAACACTAATAATTAATCACACTGATTCACTTTATTCCGCTCCGAAGCTTCGCGTGTCTCGCCAACTTCAATACTTCCTCGATCGCGTATTGCATCGCCTTTATATAGGGCTCTTCCACGAAAACATCCAGAATATTCAAGTAAATACGAGCGCCAACCGACCAAGCGCAGAAAGATCGAGTGTAGAGCTTCTAGAAAGTTTAGTTCTTCAATTTGATACTAGATGGCGCTGTCGGTTAAAAAAATTAGTTATGTCATTTTCTGGAAAGCTCTCTCCTCGCTCTGTTACCCGACACTAGATGGCGCTAGAGCTAGCATGCCATGAGATGAAATGTCAACTTAGCCGCGCAACACTGCCCCCTCCTAAGACATGCTCGTCCCGAGCATTATCGGCCCCATAATAACGCGCCAGGCGATCCACATGGACGATCTTAGGAGTCCCTCTTGCGCCTTTCTGTATCCGGTAGGTTACATCGTTGATCCTGGTCGCAATCCGGTACGGGCCGTCCCATTTAGCTTGAAGCTTAGGAGATTTCCCTTTGCTGCGGACTGGATTGTGCAACCACACTAGCGAACCTTCGTCGAACCCTTTGTTGTTCATTTTACGGTCATACCGGGTTTTCATCTTTGCAGACATTCGCTGGCCCGATTGTCTGACGGGCTCGTAAATGTCATTCATTTTGTTCCGCAAGTCATTTGCATAATTGGTTATACTGCGTGGGGCATCAGGTGGTATCCCGGTGATCAGGTCTGCAGGCAGCCGTAATTCTCTCCCAAAGTTTGCGAAAGCTGGTGTCCCTGATGTACTTTCGTGAACAGCGCTTCGATATGACAACAAAAACGGTTGTATGTGCTTGTCCCAATCTCGTTGCCGATTGTCTACAACTTTTGCTAGGTACCTCTCCAATGTCTGATTAAATCGTTCTACCATTCCATCAGATTGCGGGTGATAAGAAGTCGTTTGTGTTTTATGAGTACCCATAACTCGGCAAGTTTCCTGGAATATTTGAGACTCAAAATTCCTTCCTTGATCGCTGTGAATCTCTAAAGGTACTCCAAAACGACAGAAGACTTCATGAACTAGTTTATCTGCAACTGTTGAAGCTTCTTGATTTGGAATGGCGAAGACTTCTGGCCACTTAGTGAAGTTATCCATCACAACCATGAAATACTTGTTACCGCTTTCACTCTCCGGAAACGGCCCCGCCACGTCAATGGCTATTCTCTCCCATGGTGCACCAACATTGTACAACTTCAATGCACCTCTACTACGAGTCTGAGGTCCCTTTACAGCCGCACAACTTGTACATTTGCGACACCAGTCCTCGACATCGTTTCGACAGTGGACCCAGTAAAACCGTTCTCGGATCTTCAGTAGAGTTCGTTTAACTCCCAGATGACCTCCTGAATAATCATTATGGTACAGCTGTAGAACATTCGGCACTTTGGCTTTAGGCACAACCATTTGCAAATGACAGCTGTCTCCCTGAACATTTTCCCATTTACGGCACAGAACTCCATCCTGAAGCAGCAAGCTGTCCCACTGGGCCCAATAGCTTTTAGTGGTCGAACTCATCGCTGAGACGTCGCTCCACTTGGGCTTGGGAGCACTGGCCTTCATCCATTCCAGAATCGGCTTGATGTCCGGATCTTACTGCTGTGCACGTTGTAAGCTGTCCTTCCACTGGTTGCTGAGGTGGTCTGCCCTGAGCATCCTCACGGATACCACTTCCTTACTCTCTTGCCTAGTACAATGTTTGCAATCTTTAGGACAAGGTCTTCTTGACAATGCATCTGCGTTGCCGTGAGATTTCCCGCTGCGGTGTCTGATAGTAAAGTCGTATTCCTGCTGCTGCTGGGCGGTGCTGTTAGCCGCACTTCCTTTCTGAGACCGTTCACCTTCCCTTCCTAGGGTGTGCTTAGGGCAGCTGGACCGAAGATGGCCCCTTTCCCCACAGCCATAGCACCTAGGGCTGTATCCTTTATTGTGGTCGCGAACCGTAACTGCTGCAACCTCCCTAGCGTGAGGTGAACGACGATCCTGTCGCCGCCAGGCAGTGCCGTTAGCTGCACTACCCTCCTGATATCGTTCACTTTCCCTTTCTAGGGTTCGCTTAGGGCAGCTGGATCGAAGATGGCCCTTTTCCCCACAGCCATATTACCTAGGGCCGTATCCTTTGCTGCGGTCACGGATTGTAGCTGCTGCGACCTCCCTTACGCGATGGAAACGATGTTCCTGCCGCACGGCTTCCACTTCCAGTGCATGGGCCAAGGCGTCCTTAAGCGTCTCGTGGTGCCCGAGCCTCACAGCAGCTCTGACTTCCAGGTCGCGGATGCCGTCGATGAATGTCTGCACCAGGTTCCCTTCAATGAGCGCAGGTACAGACCGGTATGCTTTTCGCACCAGCTTCTCCACTTCTAGAGCCCACTGCTGCAGGTTTTCGTTGATGCGCCGCACACGATCTTTAAGCTGCGCACGAAAGACGTGTTCCAGGTGAGCGTCGCCATATCTCGCCTCCAATGCCTCAAGGAGTTGCCCATAAGTCACTTCCTCACCGAGAGCTTCTAGAACTGTTAAGGCCTGGTCGCGCAGGCCTAGTGTGAGAGCAGTCATGGCCTGACTTTTATTCCAGCCGTTCGCCTTCATAACAGCCTGGAACTGGATCTTGTAGGCTGACCAGGAAGAGGTACCATCGAACGGCGGCACTTTGAATCCACGTAGCGAAGGTGTTGTAGCTACTACGGGAGCTGTTGTTCCATCCCCAAGTTTGAGGTCGTCCAGCGTTTTCTTCACATCAGCCACCACGTTGTCTACCCGATTGTTCACTTGGTCGATTTGGGTTTTAGCTTTCTTGATTTGGGTTTCAGCCTTTGCGATTTGGGTTTCAGCTTCCGACAGGCGGTTGTCATGCTGAGCAACCCTATCCTTAACCTCCTTTATCTCCTTCCCGAAGGTAGTGTGAAGATCCTTCAAGAGGAGCATTTGCTCTTCCAACCGACGGGCCTGTTCCTCTTGTCCGCCCCGCAACTGTTCTTCCAAACGACGGACCTGTTCTTCTTATCCGCCCCGCAGCTGCTCTTCCAAACGACGGACCTGTTCCTCCTGCTGCTCTTTCAACAGACGGGCCTGTTCCTCTCGTCCGCGCTGCAGCTGCTCCTGTAGCATCGCCATCAGAGCACCAAGTCAGGTGCTGCAGATGCAGGAGCTAATGACGGGCCCGCAGCCTCCGTGGCTGGCAGTTGGCCCTCCGACGTCTGCGACGTTGCACCACCAAATCTTCTTTGGTCCGTCTCCTGCTGGCGTTGACTTCGGGTACGGACACCGTCCGTTTCCTCCTCCTAGGTAAAATCGGCATGATTTTATCCCACTTCTGACACCAATTGTTACGAGCTTGAGGTTCGTGACAATAAAAATTGCCGATAGAATTACCTAAATTAACACTTTAATTCACTTTACAATAATTAAAGTTAAAAAAAACACTAATAATTAATCACACTGATTCACTTTATTCCGCTCCGAAGCTTCGCGTGTCTCGCCAACTTCAATACTTCCTCGATCGCGTATTGCAGCGCCTTTATATAGGGCTCTTCCACGAAAACATCCAGAATATTCCGGGATATTCAAGTAAAAAGGCGCGCCAACCGACCAAGCGCAGAAAGATCGAGTGTAGAGCTTCTAGAAAGTTTAGTTCTTCAATTTGATACTAGATGGCACTGTCGGTTAAAAAAATTAGTTATAGTTATGTCATTTTCTGGAAAGCTCTCTCTCGCTCTGTTACCCGACGTCAACTTAGCCGCGCAACAATACTATAACTAGATACCTATAGCACCATCGAACATTTTAAACGATTCACTTTTATAAGCGATATTTTTGGTAGTAAGTAATTTTGAAATATGTTTAT